TGTTTCGGAGGGGGGGGGGTAGTTAAACTCCTAATCCTGCCAAAAACGTTAAAGACGAGATCTTCCACCTTTAGGCAAATGTAGTCAAATCCATACGTATTCCTACACGAGGGGTAGCTTGGGAAAGGTAATTATATATATTAGTTTTAAAAACTTTTTTACGTGATTATTATATATACTTAATTAATCTTGTATATATATGCTAATTATGAAGCACAGATAACAGAGAGCGTGAAGAGCTTGTTGTGCAACCAATCTCTCCAGAGCTTGATCAAGCATTCCCATTCCTTACTTAGATGATTAATCACACTCTAATTCAACTCTTCCAAAGATTAATTATTACTTTCGTCCATTTATTTTATACAATACTTTTTTTTTCAAAAGAAGAATTCAATTGTACAGAACTATAACCAATCAACAACGTGTACAAAAAGCACACACACATATATATATGTATGTATGCATGTATGTATGTATGTATTATCCGACAAGATAACTATAATAACGGAAACACGTTGAATGGAAGTTGAGAAGCATCTTGTCCATTTTCAATACAAAATATATATATATAGACAGACAAATTACGTTTCAATCAATGTATATATAGATATAGATGCATATTATTCTATATTGTGGACGTGGATCTATATGATACACGTCGTTCACTTTGATACTAAACGACATCAATGAATGCAAAATACGTAACATCCCTCTCTTTCTCTTCTCAATGAAAATAAAAGAAGAAAACTAAATGAAAAGAGTACTTTCGTCGGAGGAGGAAATCCACTCAATGACGCCACCTTCCATCTTCTGCTATGTTTTTTTTTTTGGTAAACCACAAAAAACTATTTTTTTTATACATCGGAGAATTGTACTACAACCCTTCGGATCAAACACCGAACACCGTAATATCTCACATCCCAATAGGCCGGACGAGGACGGCATCAAAACAGTATCGCGAACCAAAGAAAACCCCAAGTCCACGCACACGAATCTGCAATACACACGTGAAAGGTAAAACAGCCGTAACTGAGAGCCAAAAAGACCGCAAGGAGTCGAACGCCCGACCTCATGGTTTCTTCCATGCTCCTTGACCAACTCACATTGGGTTTCCAAAAAAACAAAAAACTTTATTCTTGTGGCCTCGTTTCTCTGAAATGGTTTACAAAAAATAAAAATTACCATATACGTAAAGGAAGTTCTGTGAAAATTTTACTTGTTATGATTCTTTGACAACAGGGTCACAAGATTCCTTGGGACCCACAAATTCTGCGTCGATAACCTTCGGACGGCGGGCCCACACGAAATGGGACGTTAACTCTATTACGCGCGGATGCCGATGTGGCATCTCTGCTCGCCATGTGGCGAACTGCATAAGGCACGTGGTCTTCACGTCTCTCTCTCCTGTTGTTTCCTTCACCGACGTGAGACCTACAACAAGGAAAACAACAAGACTTGTATTACGTAGGATCTCGCCACGTGTATGGACCAGGACACTGGTGTCTCCATGTCTTCTTGCGGTCCAACTTATATGGGCCCACAGGCCCATTGGCCTCGGCCTGTCTTTGAAAGCCCACGATCATTCAGGTCGCGCCACGTGTCTCTCTCCCCACTGCGATTCGTCTATATATACGCCCATCGTTGACGATTCCCCAGAGCACCCTCAAGGATCAGAACCAAACAGAGGAGCAAACCAGCTCGGTTTTTAGAAATGTTCATCGAAAGCTTCAAGGTCGAGAGCCCGAACGTGAAATACACGGAGAATGAGATCCATTCCGTGTATAATTACGAGACGACGGAGGTCGTCCATGAGAACTGTAATGGCGCTTACCAGTGGATTGTGAAGCCAAAGACCGTCAACTACGAATTCAAAACCAATGTCCACGTCCCGAAATTAGGGTACACACAAGCATTTTCGTTTCAAAGTTCCAATCTTTGCCTAGTCTACACGGTTTGCCCGAGCGATACTCAAATGGGTTGGTGTTAGGTTTCGAAATTATGCGCATTCCCATTGTTTAATTTTGTGTTGTTGATTCGATTGAAAGGGTTATGCTTGTGGGTTGGGGAGGAAACAATGGCTCTACCCTTTCCGCCGGTGTGATTGCGAACCGAGAGTGAGTATTCTGTCAAACCACTCTTCGTAATCTTCGATTAATTGTTCATAATTACGTGGGTGTTGATTCAATTTGTTTGGAATTGAATTTGGAAAACTGCAGAGGAATTTCATGGGCAACCAAGGACAAAGTCCAGCAAGCGAATTACTTCGGCTCACTCACCCAAGCATCATCCATTCGTGTCGGATCGTACAACGGAGAAGAGATCTATGCCCCTTTCAAGAGCCTTCTTCCTATGGTAAATACGTAAATGTTGAATCTTAACTCATAAGTTAGTGAAACAGTACTTACTTTCAAGTGTTTGATGTCAGTAGACTGGTCGTTGTTGTCTGGTTTGCTGTCGGAACAGGTGAACCCTGACGATGTTGTGTTTGGCGGATGGGATATAAGCGACATGAACTTGGCGGACGCCATGGCAAGGGCCAAGGTTCTAGACATTGATCTTCAGAAGCAGCTCAGGCCTTACATGGAGAACATGGTTCCACTCCCCGGAATCTACGATCCTGATTTCATTGCCGCGAATCAGGGCTCACGTGCCAACAATGTCATCAATGGCTCCAAGAAGGAACAGGTCGATCAGATCATCAAGGACATCAGGTACTCACCATTAGATTTAAGCTTGAGTTATTCAAAACATGATCTGGGTGTTGAAGGCATTTAGCTTCATGATATGTAATGTGATGGTGATCAGGGAGTTCAAGGAGAAGAACAAGTTAGACAAGGTGGTGGTTCTGTGGACAGCAAACACGGAGCGTTACAGCAATGTGATGTCTGGTCTAAATGATACGATGGAGAATCTCTTGGCATCTGTTGACAAGAACGAACCTGAGATCTCTCCTTCCACTCTTTACGCCATAGCCTGTGTTTTCGAAGGTGTTCCATTCATCAATGGCAGCCCACAGAACACCTTTGTCCCAGGTCCTCTTCCAAAAAAAAACCCTTCATTACAACAAAATGTACTGTAACATTGAACTTCTCTGAATTCGATTCTGTGTATGTCTGGTCCGGTTTGTAGGTCTAATCGATATGGCCATCAGGAGAAACTGCTTGATCGGTGGGGATGACTTCAAGAGTGGTCAGACCAAGATGAAATCAGTCTTGGTCGATTTCCTCGTCGGTGCTGGTATCAAGGTATTGCTTCTTCTATGATATCCAAGTCTCGACTGTACCGAACGTGATGTTTCGGTATTGCGTTTCTGACGACGGTTCGTGATTTTGGTGTAGCCAACATCAATAGTGAGCTATAACCATCTCGGGAACAACGATGGCATGAACCTCTCGGCTCCTCAGACGTTCAGATCAAAGGAGATCTCAAAGAGCAACGTAGTGGACGATATGGTTGCCAGTAATGGCATCCTCTACGAGCCCGGTGAACACCCCGACCACGTCGTCGTCATCAAGGTATATATATATATATATATAAATTACTCTTTACAAATTTCAAATCTTTTCACCAATGTGATTACTGCCATTGATTGACTGTTTGTCTTTAACCATGGCTGTTTCCCATGCAGTATGTGCCGTACGTGGCTGATAGCAAGAGGGCAATGGACGAGTACACGTCGGAGATATTCATGGGAGGGAAGAACACGATCGTTATGCACAACACTTGCGAGGACTCTCTCTTGGCTGCTCCCATTATATTGGATCTTGTTCTTCTGGCCGAGCTCAGTACCAGGATCCAGCTCAAAGCCGAAGGAGAGGTTTGTGTCCTGTTCTTGTTGTCCTTTTCGTCTATGTGATTACTGAATCATTTCGTGGGATTGGTCTCTGTTTTTTTGCAGGGAAAGTTCCATTCTTTCCACCCAGTTGCCACCATCCTCAGCTACCTCACCAAGGCACCACTGGTAAGTACCCTTTTAAATCTCTCATTCATGGCGAAAACACCCAATTCTGTACGCAGTGCTTAGATTTTTCGAGGGTAATCTGACCGAGAAATGGGATGGGCAGGTTCCTCCAGGGACACCGGTGGTGAACGCCTTGTCGAAACAGAGGGCGATGCTCGAGAACATAATGAGGGCTTGCATTGGTCTAGCGCCTGAAAACAACATGATCTTGGAATATAAGTGAAGCCATTGAAGGAGAGACCATGGCCATGGCCGAACAGGAAAAAAAAAAACTGATATGAGTAGTTGCTGAAACATTGGAGCTGTGTTCTGTTCTTTCTGTTTTGTCTTTTAAGACGGAACCGAGCGAGTGTTTGAAAGAAGGCGGCATCGGTTCTTCTTTCCCGTTTGTTGTATTTGTAGTGATGGTGTTGTGCTCTGTTCTGTATTTTTTTTTTTAATGTTAATAATAACGCAACAATTGTAACTCATATTGTTTCATCTTCCATTACATATTTAATATGATTTATAACCTTATCATACTGATGTTATATTATTATCTATCATCACTGCTATTTTTATCATAAATATTTTATTTTTGTTCATCATATCCCATACTCGATTCATTGAATCTCTACCATTCCCATAGATTTGCTTGGAAATATTAGAAATAAAAAGAATCCAGAAGCATAATGGCGACGATACACTCCACCAATTATTACAACATTGTCTTGTACCATAAAACTCATCTCCAAATCATAATTAGAGCTTAAAACTCGGAGCTTAACGAACACACGCAGATTATCAGACATCAGCCAAAGGCACTGGCAAAGAGACAAAACCATTCAGTTGGATGTTTCAGTTCATATTCTCTACGGGGAAGATGAAAACGTTCAGACAATATATCCTCAAGCTCATGTTTATGAAAGAAAGGCGAGAAATGTGACCGATGGTAACATTCAATTAGTTCCCGAGACCATCAAGAATTCGCCCTCGCATACCAAAGCACCTCCGACGTATGCTTTCCCTTCCATCTTTGCAATACCGAAACCCTTTTGGAACTTCAAGAGGGTCATCCTCATAACCAGAGTGTCTCCTGCAACCACCGGTTTACGGAATCTAACTTTGTCGATTCCTGCAAAGAAGAAATTTTCCCGGGAGCCGCCTACTTCTGGCTGCAACATCACCAGTCCTCCCACTTGTGCCATTGCCTGCAATTCACCAAAATGAATGGCTTTCATCTTTCCATATAGTTTCATACAATCAAAAGCAATGAAGCAACCATCAACCGGGTATGTGTCTCCAAGCTTTTCGGGGTTTAGTCAAACTCCTAATATCTTCCAGAAAAAAGTCCGGACCCATAGCCATTTCTCTTAAAAATCGGATCATCCTTTCCATATAGTTTCATACAATCCATAGTACATGTCTATGAGTTTTTCGGAGGGGGGGGGGTAGTTAAACTCCTAATCCTGCCAAAAACGTTAAAGACGAGATCTTCCACCTTTAGGCAAATGTAGTCAAATCCATACGTATTCGCATATGCTTGTATCATCATCTAAACAAAGAAAGTGCGAGGAAGAAGAACCGAACTTAAAGGTCTGGTAAAGATACTAAGGATAATATCTATAGACTTTAAGCAAAGCACTAGCCATGGTCGAGAGATCCTATGCCGAATTACCAAATCATCCGAGTGCATTCTCATAATCCTAGTATTGGAGGAGTTTCAAGCGCTCTAGTCGTTCCCATTGCATCAATTCTAAGCCTGTTTCAGATTTCATCTTACCTAAAAGGCTAAAACCCAACATTTCAACCCCTTTCACCACAACTATACTTCATCCAACTTACTTGTCTAATATGAAACAATCTCTAACATTCATCCAAACCCAGAACCAAATCCACAGAGCCAATGTAAAAGGATGGATCTTTCGAGCTGTAGAACAAGTGATCATCGTTAAAAAGAAAAGTCTTTACCTCGACCATAAGGACACCAGGCATGATGGGTCTATCCGGAAAATGTCCCGGGAAGAAATTGTCGTTTATCGTCACGTTCTTAATCGCTACAGCAGAAACACCGGGCGTATACTCGATTACTCTATCCACTAACAGAAACGGAAACCTAAATCGCACGATGTCAAAACCAAAAGGATCGAATTTAAACATTAGATCATGAAACTACGTGAAACCCGACATAGGATTCCAAGAAACTTTATCTAAACAGAGCCAAAAAAGAAAAATCCAACACGAAAAATTGAATTTTTTTTCGCTTCACAATAGAATCACCTGTGAGGCAATATCTCCCTGATCTGGTTTATGTCCATCACCGTCGGAAACGCCGGGAATTCTGGAATTAAAAAGACACATTGAATGAAATGCCGAGGAAGAAGACGTGAATGCCACAGGAATAGTCCATGAATCGGAACATCTTACTGAGTTCGATGGGGGTGTCTTTGTCGATTGAGGAGCTGTCGGCATTTGCAGAACAACACAGCGTGAGCGATTTAGATCGACGGTGGGGATTGAGATCAACGGAGTGAGGTCTACAGGAGGGAACCGTAGGAAGTGTTGTGAGCCGATGATGACTCAGTGAGTCAGTACCCAGAAAGAGGCCCGAGTTGGTCGTAGCAGCCATTCGGAGAGAGAGAGAGAGAGAGAGAGAGAGAGAGAGGAGAGTCCGAAGTGTCGTAGCTCGACGGAACTGGTTGGGTAGGGAGTATTAGAGGGAGCAAAATCTGCTCCTTAGTTATATCACGAATATTTTATTTCCTAAACTCTAACTACCAAACACTAACAACTTGATAATACAAGCTGTGCAAAAGAGAAGAAGGGAGAAAGAAATTCTCTTCTTTGATGCTTTAAAAAATGGTGCTGTACATTTTGTTTAAATACAGAAAACTCTACCAAAAAATTCTAACAACCTATCAAATGCTAAAGACGTGAGCTAACAACCTGGTATAGAGACTAAACCAAGAAATAAATTAACCAAGAAATGAATCTATTTACTAAACCAGGTGATAGAGCAGAGACACCGAGAAAACAGGTTCTTCCTCATGTACAGCTTGTTCTTCATTCTTGATACTCCCCCTCAAGGTGGAGAATACGTGTCATGTATTCCCATCTTGTGTATCAATTTCTGAAACGGATCCCCACATAAAGGTTTCGTCAAAACATCAGCAACTTGCTCACGAGAAACCACATGTAAAGGTTTTAGGAAACCTGATTGCAAATGTTGCCGAATAAAATGGTAGTCAATCTCCAGCTGAACCGGATTGTTTGCCATATGAATCGCGGACTGACTATCACTGAAGAGAGTAACTGGTGTCGGATACGAAATTCGAAAGTCTTTAAGCAAGCCAGAAATCCACAATAATTCACATGAAGCTTGAGCCATTGCTCTGTACTCGGATTCTGCACTGCTACTCGACACAATCTATTGTTTCTTAGATTTCCATGTAACCATGGAATTTCCAATAAAAGTGCAATAGTCTGTGATAGATGTAACGACCTGAGGCCGCTACGGAATGATAGAGTTGTCCTCACACACCAACACGGAACCTTTTAGTGTGTTTTGTCCTCACTCGCACACATCCCGGAAAGTACTTCTCAGGAGGTCACCCATCCTAAGACTACTCCAAGACCAGCACGCTTAACTTTGGAGCTCGTCAGGAGCCGCCCATTGTCCATGCCTCTCGCACCGACGATCACTCCCCGCCCTCCTACGGTATCCTGGGCTGTCACAGGCCCACCAGCTTCCGTCTGGTTCGTCCACGAACCACACCGTACTGGGAAAGAACCGGCTCTGATACCATTTGTAACGACCCGAGGCCGCTACGAAATGATAGAGATGTCCCCACACACCAACACAGAACCTTTTAGCGTGTTTTTTCCTCACTCGCACACATCCCGGAAAGTACTTCCCAGGAGGTCACCCATCCTAAGACTACTCCAAGGCCAGCACGCTTAACTTTGGAGTTCTCTCGAGATGGGCAACCGAAAAGGTAGATGCATCTTGTTGCTATGAGTAGCTCAATTAATTCCTTTAAGTTATCTTAGACTGCGTAGTCCCATACCTACACAGCCCTCGGATCCCTCTCATTTCGGTGCGTCCGCTTCATCCCTGTACCCCCTACCCAGAAGCTCGTCAGGAGCCGCCCATTGTCCATGCCTCTCGCACCGGCGATCACTCCCCGCCCTCCTACGGTATCCTGGGCTGTCACAATAGACTTCCTGGAATCAGCACATGCCGCCCAATCCGCATCTACATAACCACTGAGTCTGATGTCGGATTGCCTGGGATACATTAAGCCTTGAGCAGGAGATGACTTAATGTATCGTAGTACTCTGTATGCAGCCGATAAATGAGATGTATGAGGCTTGGACATGAACTGACTCAGTTTTTGAACTGAAAAACTGATATCAGGTCTTGTCACAGATAGGTAGATGAGTTTACCTATGAGTTTTCGATAATGTTTAGCATCATCCAGAGGATTACCCGATTCCTGGGTAAGCTTGTCTTTGCTGTCCATTGGTGAATTACAGGGTTTGCTGGCAAGCATACCAAATTCGTCCAGCAACTAGAGCATACTTACGCTGACAAATGTGAATTCCTCGCTGAGATCTCGCAATTTCTAACTCAAGGAAAAATTTAAGGCAACCAAGATCCTTGAGCTGGAACTGAGAACAGAGAAGTTGCTTGACCTCGTCAATGAGAACCATATCATTGCCGGTGATTAACAAATCATCGATATAAACAAGAACATCAACAAACCTGGAACCAGAATGTTTCAGGAAGAGAGAGGTGTCTGAGAGAGACTGCGAAAATCCACCAGTTAGAAGAACATTCGATAGCTTGATGTTCCATTGGCGAGATGCTTGGCGAAGACCATATAAGAATTTCGTAAGCTTGCAAACAGAATTCTGAGGAACAGACTCCCCCTTAATGTCTGTGTATCCAGGAGGTAAACTCATGTAGATTTCTTCTGTCAAATCCCCATTTAGGAATGCATTTGAAACATCCATTTGATGCAACAACCAATCCTTTGTTGAAGCAAGAGCAAGAATGATCATTACAGTCGACAATTTCGCAACAGGGCTGAAGGTGTCTAGATAATCAACACCTTCTAGCTGTGAATAACCCTTAGCAACGAGGCGGGCTTTATATTTATCAACACTTCCATCTGCATTATACTTAATGCGGTAGACCCACTTACATCCTATAGTTGTCTTGCCCGGTGGAAGAGGGCATAATTCCCAAGTCTCTGTCCGAGTCAGCGCATCCAACTCAAGAAGCATAGTCGAACGCCACTGATCAGATGTTGCAGCTTGTTTGTAATTTTTAGGTTCGGTTTCAGTTGTGATTGAAAGGGAATACTGCCGAAAGGTGGGAGATAGTTTTGAGTATGAAATATAGGCTGAAAGTGGGTATGGTGTTTGTGGCTGAGGTGATGGAGAGGTCGAATGATTGAGTTAGTAACAATGGTACTCGGATAAATAACTTGGTGCTTTAGTCATACGCTGTGACTTGCGATTATGTTCAGTTACAACATCAGGAGAAGAATCTGAGGTTGTGTGAGAAGAAACATCAGGGGAAGTGTCCTCTGATGTGGGAGGTAAGGAGGGTCTTGAAGAAGGGTTGCAAGGAATGTCATAAAGAAGAAATCGAGATGGGACAGGTGGAAAAAACTCAAGTGTCGAAGATGGTAGAGACCGAGTTTTAAAAGGAAAGGTGTATTCCTGAAAGATGACATTCCGAGAGACAGAGACGGTGTTAGACTCTAGATTGAGGACCTTGTAACCCTTAACTCCAAGAGGATAGCCAAGGAATACATGGGGAGTGGCCCCTGGAGAGAACTTATGGCGAGTGTTGTCATGTGTGTTTACATAACAAAGACATCCAAAGTTTTTTAGTTGTGAGTAATCAGGTACAGATTTGGTAAGACACTCAAAAGGGGATTTGTTTTTCAATATAGGGGTAGGAATCCGATTTATCAAGAAAGTGGCAGTTCGAATACATTCAGTCCAATAAGAAAGAGAAAGATTGGACTGAAATAAGAGGGATCATGCCACGTTGAGTATGTGTTGGTGTTTTCTCTCAACGACTGAATTTTGTTGAGGGGTGTATGGACAAGATTTGTAATGGATAAGACCCTTTTCAGCAACCAGAGACGAAAATGAGAGTTCTGGTGCGTTGTCTGATCGAAATGCTTTGATAGTACAGGAATATTGAGTGGAAACACGATTAAAAAACTGAGGAAATATGCTGAGAACGTCACTTTTATTTCTTAACATGTAGACCCATGTCACACGAGTACAATCGTCTACAATAGAAAAGAAGTATCGGTGACCATCTACAGATATTTCATGAAATGGACCCCATATGTCTATATGTACAAGAGCAAAGGGATCTTTGGAGATATTGCTGGAGACAGAAAAAGGGAGTTTTCTTTGTTTTGCAAGTGGACAGATGTTGCAATGATGAGGTTGTTCCTTTGATAGGGTGAGAGTGATGTGAGAAGAATGTCCAAGTGTCTGAACTCGAAGAAAGGAATGATGGTCAAGTCGCATATGCCAAAGATCGACAGATGCAGAAGAGGTGGTGGAAAGGGTTGTGCAGAGAACAAAGGGGATAGAGGAGGGGACTGGAGAGATTCCTTGCAACTCAAGAAAGTAGAGATTGTTCCATAGTCTACCATTCCCAATCATCAAGGCCCGAATAGAGTCCTTAATGATATAGGAGTCATGGCAGAAAGAAACAATGTAAGAAGCTTGTTTTGTCAAAGCACTAATGCTAAGCAAGTTGAAATGAAATGCTGGGACATACAAAACAGAATATAGTGTTAAATGAGGGGATAAAGAAATCGTCCCAGACTGAGTGACAAATATGGTTGTACCATTTGGAAGAGTGATCGAAACAGGCTGAATATGATGTATAACAGAATATAAGCTTAAGTCACATCAGATATGACTGCTAGCACCAGTGTCAAGTATCCAGATATTAGGTTGATGAAAACGATGATAATGAATAGCAGAGAGGGCAAAAAAAATGGCTATGAAGGGTACCTAATTTGGGAGAGGTGGAGGCTGCAACGCCCGATTGTGTAGTCGAAAGGCTAATCCCCTTGAGCTGAGATTGAAACTGATTAAACAGAGCTTGAGCCTGCTCCAGAGGAGATAGAGTGGACCCATTAGATGATGGTTGTTGTTGGCTACCAGAAACGTCTGATCCATTGAGATTCACAGAGTGTTGAATCTGTTCCGGATGACCAGTCCTTGGAGTCGGTAGAAGAGGAGGTTTGGGTGACCAAGACTTTCCAGAGGCAGAGATTTTAGCACCAGGTGGGTATCCATGTATTTTATAACACTTTGCAATGGTATGGCCAGAGATACCACAATGAGAGCAGAAGGGTCTGGATTTAGACGGATTAGAAGTAGTATATCTCGTCCTAGAACCAGTGGAGGCAGAGGTCTGAAAGACCACTGTGTCAGAAAAACTGGATAAACCATGTTTTTTATGTTCTTCCTAGGCAATCATAATGTAAACCTTAGTCATAGAAGGGACTGGGTCCAACATGAGAATCTGTCGTCTTGCAGGGTAATAGGTCTCATTGAGTTTTATAAAAAATTTCACCACGTTTTTCTTATAAAAAACTCAGTCAGACGTTGGTTGTGATGACAAGTACATAGTC